TCTTGAGATTATTACTTAAACCAATTGATCATTTTCTAGGTCAAAAATCAGAAATTTCCCTTTCTCAATCAAAACCCTAATTTTGACTATTTTGCCCTTTTGAAGATTTGATCAAATTTCTTGAGGAATTATGGTCCAAACTTGATCAAATGATACATATGAGTTTAAAATGTTGATGTGTATCAAAAATTATGAAGTTTGATTGTAAATTGGCCATAGTTGACTTTTTCCCTAATACAACTGATTTTTAGGTCAACTATTCAATTGACTGAGAAAAAGTGTGATCCAAGGTTTGAAACTTGACATGAGTAATCTTGGGGGCCCATAATGATCCATGAAAATCATATGGGGCATAGAAAGTTCAAAATTCTTTGTGCAAACCCAAACCCTAATTTTGAGTCATCAGTGCATAAGGAGGTGTCTTGAGCTGATCAAACCCTAGTGCAGTCTTGAGCCCAAGGAGATCTTGTGAGCAAATTCTTGATAAGTGAAAGGGAAAATTTTGGGGTACAACACATTACTTCCATTTTTCTTCACATAGAGGGCATGTTCATACAGAAATTTCTTGAACCCATTCTCCTTGAAATATGTGTCGATGCGTGTGTTCCATGCCCGTGGTGCTTGCTTCAGCCCATATAGCGCTTTCTTCAATTTCAACACCTTATTCTCTTCTCCAATCCTCATATACCCAATTGGTTGTTCGACATAGACTTCTTCTTCTAGTACACCATTCAAAAATGTTGTCTTGACATCCATTTGAAATTTCAGCCATTTGAATTGAGCAGCTTGAGAAATGAGCAATCAAATTGTCTCCATTATTGCAACAGGTGAAAACACTTCGTCATAGTCAATTCCTGCTTTCTGTTTATATCCCTTCGCAACAAGTCGCACTTTGTATCGTTCTATTTCTCCTTGAGCGTTCATATTTGTTTTGAATACCCACTTTACACCAATGGGTCGACTACCTTTTGGCAATTCGACTAGCTCCCAAGTGTTGTTGCGGTCTATTGCTCTAATCTCTTCGTCCATGGAACTTTTCCACTTCTTGTCTCATAATGCTTCTTCGAAACTGATGTTTTCAGCATCTTCCAGAAGGCACACAAGGTGTACCTCATTTATCGAATCATATAGATCTTGCAAACTTTACATTCTGGGTTGTAGAGGTTCATCTTCATTTTCAGTATTTTCATGTTCTGTTGAAATTCTTGTTGGTACAGTGACAAATGATTCTTCAAATGCATCAATAACTTCTGTCGAATTATTCCAGTCCCACTTGCTTGCTTCGTCTATTCGAACGTATCTACTCATGATCACTTTCTTTCTTATGGGGTCGAATAGCTTGTACCCTTTTATATTCTCATCATATCCAATGAATGTATACTTTTGACTTTTGTCTTCAAGTTTCGTTCTTCATTAATCTGGTACATGTGCATAAGATACACTACCAAATACTTTGAGATGAGAAATTGTTGGCTTATGTCCGCTCCATGCTTCTTATGGTGTTTGATCTTTTAACTTCGAATGTGGACATCGATTTTGAACATAAACAGCACATTGTACAGCTTCTACCCAGAATTCTTTCGACATGTTCTTGCTCTTAAGCATTGATCAAATCATGTCAAGAACATTTTAATTCTTTCTTTCAGCCACACCATTTTGCTGAGGTGAATATGGTGCAGTTAGGAATCTCCTTATGCCCTACTCTTCACAATACTTCATAAAGGCCGTCAAAGTGTACTCACCACCTCTGTCAGATCGAACTGCTTTATATGTCTGTCGGTTGCCTTCTCCACCATTACTTTTAACTTTTTTAACACCTCTAATGCTTTAGACTTTTCTTTCAAGAAATAAACCCAGGTCTTTCATGAGAAATCGTCAATAAAAGAAAATGAAGTGCCTTTTTCCACTGAAGGATTCTGGAGTGATTGACCCACATATGTCGGTATGAATCAATTCGAGAATATGTTTAGCTTGATATTCTGCCTTCTTTTGAAATAAGGTTCTTGTTTGTTTGCTGAGCACACATTCTTCACAAAACTTTCCTTCATAATCCATGTCTGGTAGTCCGTGCACCATGTTCTTTTTTGCCAACCTTCTCAAACCAGCATGATGTAGATGACCAAAGCATATATTCCATAGTGACGCTTTGTCTTGCATGTCGACTTGTAGACATTTCTCTCGAACGTTCCTCAAATTTAGTTTGTGCATTCGATTTCTTTCCATTTCGACACGAGCGATCAAATGTCCTACTTTGTCCTTCAAATGCAGTATTCGATCTTTTACAAGTATCGAAAAACCTTTTTCTGTAAATTGTCCCAAACTCGGGATGTTGGTCTTGAGATCTGGTACATAGTAAACATCTTGGATTAATCCAATCAAGCCATCCTTCTGTAAGTAACATATTGTGCCCTTTCCTTCGACCTTCACTTTCGATGCATCCCCGAAAGACACATTACCATCTTTAATTTGTTTTCATTTCTTTAAACAGATGTTTGTAACCACGCATGTGATTGCTTGCTCCTAAGTCAAGATTCCAAACGTGGTCATTATTGGTGTTGATTTCATTTTGAGCCATCAGAAGAAAACCTTCATTCGCTTAAGCTTCCAAGGCTAGATTGGTTGTTTCTTCTACCTTCTTTTCAATTCGACAATCTTTTGCAAGATGTCCCACTTTATCACAGTTATAGCATTTGTAGGAATTGTGATCCTTCGCGTAACGACCATACTTCCCACACTTGTAGCATTCAAAGTTGGAGTGGTTCGACCGACCACCTCTTTGACCACATCCTCTGCCACACCAATTTTGTTGATTCAGATGTCCTCTCTCGAAGTTGCTGCCTCGACCACTTCGACCATTGTCACGACCTCCACAGCCATGTCCTCTTCCTTAATTTTTTTGAGAAAAGAGTACCTTTTCGTCTTTGATCAACTCCTTGGTTTGATTTGCTTCCTCGACTGCTTCTTCCTTCTTTTTCATCTTACGTTGTTCATGTGCTTCGAGAGAACCAACGAGCTCTTCGACTGAGAGCGTTGAAAGGTCCTTCGAATCTTTTATTGCACACACAATATTCTCAAATTTATCTGTTAAAGATCTCAAAATCTTTTCAACAACTCGTGCATCAGTTACTGTTTTGCCATTTTTGGTGAGTTGGTTCACTACCTTTTGTATACGTGTGATGTAGTCAGATACAGTTTATGTCTCCTTCATCTGCATCCTCTCCAATTCGCCACGAAGAGTTTGGCGTCGAACTTACTTCACTCAATCTGCTCCTTTGAATACTTTCTCTAACGTGTCTTATGCTTCCTTCAACATGGTCGAACCGTCAATCTTTTTGAAGCCTGATTCGTCAACAGTCCTGAACAACATATATTGTGCCATTTTATCCTTCGATCGCGTCTGTTTTAACGCCTTAGTTTGAGTTGTCATATGTCCTGCAACCTCTGTTGGTTCTTCAAACTCATCGTTGGTCACTTCTCACGCGTCTAGAGATCCAAGAAGAGCTTTCATTTGGATACTCCAGTTTTTGTAATTTGACTTTGTTAGCCGTGGCAACGACATTTGATTCATCATGTTTGCCATTAGCTCTGATACCAATTTGTTAGATCAGGAGCAAATACTTTTATAACTTCTTATCAAATAGAGTACAATTTTGGTCTTTATATAGACTCAAGGACTTCTACTATTCTAGAAAAGCAAATGATATTAGTAAATACTATTATAACCCACTATCTCTTGGCCTTCAAATTACAATAGACTTTTAACCTTCCCAATAACTTATTAATAGAAACCCATCATTTATAACATTAAAGTTTATTCAACAGATTTTAATGATATTTCAGCCGCCAATGAAAAGAAAGGAGGAGATCATATATATTCTCAAAAATGTATGACATTTAGAAATAATATAGAACATTATACTCTCATTGACCTGGGTTCTAGTGGTCCTACATTTACCTGGAGGGGATCTAGATTTCACGGAGTTCAACGAATTTACGAGAGGCTAGATGGGGCTTTGAGTAATGAAGATTGGAGATTGTTGTTCAACGAGGCTCATGTCAAAGTGCTCACTAGAGTAGAATTATCAGATCATCATCCCATTATGATCTTGTTAAATTGCCATAGTGGTAATAGAGCTAAGAGAGCATTCCGTTTTGAGAGTGCGTAGATGGTTGAGGCTAACTATCATGATAGAATTCGGGGCATCTAGAAGAATGAGGTTGATCTGTTAAAGAATTTAAAGCAGATTGAAATTGATGCTCGGGATTGGAGGTGCACTACTCTAAAGCATGTCAGAAGATAAAGAGGGAGCTCATGGCCAGACTACATGAGATTCAAAAAACCACACAAGAGAGACAGAATGTGAGAGATTTATTGAGATTGGAGAAAAAAGCTGCAAAAAGATCTTAGTATTATCCTTGAAAAAGAAGAGCTTATGTGGTTTCAACATTCGAGATCTAGATGGCTAGCTGATGGAGACTTTAATACAAAGTATTACCATCTAAAGGTTGTGACCAGAAGGAAGAGAAATAAGATAGTTATGCTAAAAAATGATGAAGGTGTTTGGGTGGAAGATGAAAGCCAGTGGAAAGGTTTGGTGAATGACTTCTATAAAAAACTTCACTTATAAAAATAATTGGAACAATTGGCGGAACACGACAACTACCTTTCCAAAGCTTAATACTGAAGATATTGAGAAGCTTAATGAGCATATATCCAACAGGGAGATTAGACATGAAATATATGACATAAACCTTAGAAGGATCTGGGACCCGATGGATTTTCTGCTGGCTTTTATACAAAATCTTGGGATTTAGTTGGTGAAAATGTGTGTAAGTTTATCAAGAAGTTGTGGGAGGAACCAGTTGAGTTAGAAACTACTAATCAAACAAATATTTGTTTGATTCCGAAGGTGGAAAGGCCTATCACAGTAGCTCAATTTAGGTTGATATCTCTTTGTAACATAACCTACAAGGTTATTAGAAAAATAGTTGTGGGTAGAATGAAGAAACACATGAATAAGTTGATTTCTCTTTTTCAAACCAGGTTTGTACCAGGAAGATTAATTCATGAAAATATCATTATTGCTAAGGAGGCCTTGCACACAATGGAGAAAGTGAAGGGGAGAAAGGGATACTTTGCCATAAAAGTAGATCTTTCCAAGGCCTGTGACAAACTGAGTTGGGAGTGCATTTGGAATGTGCTTCAAGAAATTGAAATTCCTAATCATATGCTCAATGTGATAATGCATGTAGTTACTAGCATGGAGACGAATGTGAATTGGAATGGTGCTAGGAACACATATTTTCGACCTCATAGGGGAATTCGCTAAGGGGATCCAATATCTCCATATTTATTTATCCTTTGTATGGAGAAGCTCTCACATTTGATTGAAGAAGCCATCAAGAGTAATATATGGAAGGGAATCAAAGTAGGTAGGCAGGGAATAGTGATTTCTCACCTTATGTTTGCTGATAATCTTCTCTTATTTGGAGAAGCGGATGAGAAACAAATACAATGTGTCATGGAAATTTTAAAGGAGTTTGGTGATATGTCTGGGAAAGAAGTCAGTCATGAGAAGACGAGTATCCTTTTCTCAAAAAATGTTACTAGTAATATGTAAACAAGACTGGTAGTTGCGCAAATCGGATCTTCAATACATTATGGACCTGTTGGCTGAAGATTTTGATGATATTATTAGAAGCAAAGCAAATTGGACGTTTCGATTGGAATAAAGCAAGACGTCGTGTTTCGAAATGGTAGAAGCAGTGCTTCGAATGGGCATGTTAAAGTTTGGAGCTTCGAGTGACAGTTATGAGAATATATTCAAAGAAGTCTCGAAATGTTAACAAGGCTGTGTCCAAGAAATGCGTTCGAAGCGAAGAAGTGCCAAAACATTTGAAATTCAAATGCAAGCGAGATATTCGAAATTTAAAAGATATGCGCTGGAGCATTCGAAGACGCGTGGAAGCTAGAGAGAGGCATTGCTCTGCATGTTCTGAACGTGGCAGAATCTTATAGCAAGACCGTTATGGTCGAAGTAGTATAAATAGAAGTCTTAGCATTAAGATTTCGTGTGTCATATCTATTGTACAAAAAACTCAGTAAACATTCAAAATACCACATGGCTAGGGAAACGAATGCACGAGCAATGTACGTATGATAACACCAAGTGTTTATGATTTAATGAAACCCTTTATCATTTCCAGTATTTTCCTTTATCTTCATGTCAATACCATTCAAAAGCTTTTGCACTAAAATGTTTTCATTCGAAGTCTTTTTACTGATGCCTTACATTTAAATGCTTTCCTTCCATTTCAAATACTTTACATTTCAGAAACTGTTGTACATTTCATGCCTTTATCTTCAAACTTTTATCATTCGAACGCCTTTTTCACTTAAAGTCATTCTACTATTTTCTTGCATTTAAACGCTTTCTTCATATTTCAAATCTTTTACATTCCAGAGAATCTTTTACATTACATGTTTTTATGCTTCGGAGTCAGTTAATTGTCTTTTATGCAGTTTTATATGTCTTTACAATTGAACTTTATTCATGCAATTTAGTTTCGCGCACATTTACTTGATCAAGTTATTAGATCTTTAATAGAGTAATCGAAGTAAGTTAAACACCTGCACAACATTCTAAATACCAACCATGAATACCAGTTCTATAATGAGAGTTATCCTAATGACCAATACATCCTAGGATCAATCTAGTCGATCCTGCGAGTTACCAGAGAGATTGAATAACAGTCAGTAAGATTATTCGATAGTTTGGAGGACTAGCGGTTGTTTACCAGAAATCACTGTAAACAAATTGGCACAAGCAATGATTGTACGTATGATAACACATGGATAGGGAGAGGAGGTTAACTTGGGGGCAAGGGCACAAAGGCTAGAAGCCCCAATGATCCAAGGCCCACAAAGGGAAATTATGGAACCAGGGGCAAGGGTCGAAAGGCTGGAAGTCCCAGAGTTTCGAGAAGAACAACCTAGAGGGGTTGTCATGGTGGGTCGAAATCAAGATGTTGATGCAGTCGTTCATAGAATTCGAAACGATAACATCTTGGCAGAAAATAATTTAACCACCATGATAGAGAGAATCATGGCCCAGAATGGCCTCAACACAGGAATTAGAAGGCCAAATTATGCCTCCCCTATATTAGATTACATAATGCACACTGATTTACCAAGGGGGTATAAAGTCCCTAAGTTTACAAAGTTTGCTGGGGATACCAATGAGTCAACAGTCGAACATATAGCCAGGTATCTAACCGAAGCGGGAGATATAGCCAATAATGAAGACCTCAGGATCAAATATTTCCCAAGTTCCCTGATTAAGAACGCTTTCACATGGTTCACCACTTTGCCTCCTGGGTCCATTGATACTTGGGCTCTTTTGGAGAGATTATTCCATGAACAGTTCTACATGGGACAATCAAAAATAAGTCTGAAGGAACTAGCCAGTGTCAAGAGGAAGTTCACTGAACCCATAGATGATTATCTGAATAGATTCAGGCTTTTGAAATCCAGATGTTTCACAGTAGTGCCTGAACATGAGTTAGTCGAAATGGCTGCTGGCGGCTTGGATTACTCTATTCGAAAGAAATTAGACACTCAATACTTGAGGGATATGGCTCAATTAGCCGATAGGGTTCGACAGGTCGAAAGGCTAAAGGCCGAAAAGGCCAGAGTCTTTACAAATAACAAGAAGGAAAGGATCTCCTATGTTGGAACTGAGGAAGCAGAAGGTTATCCTGAATTCGAATTCGAAGAGGTCGAAATCGACCTCGCTGAATTAAAACAGGCACCACCTTACTCCTGTAAATTATTAATTCCCGCAAAAGGGAAAGAAATTGTTGAAAATGAGAAAAGTGACAAATTCCCAAAGAAGGTTTATACCTTCGATGTCACTAAATGTGACGAGATTTTTGATTTACTTGTCAAAGATGGCCAACTCATTGTGCCATCAAATGTCAAAATACCTCCTTTAGATCAAAGAAAGAAAAGAGGATTTTGTAAATATCATAGTTTCCTAGGCCACAAAACCTCATAGTGTTTTCTTTTCAGGGACCTAATTCAGAATGCAATTAAAGATGGCAGACTGAAGTTTGCTGATAAGGAAAAAATGAAAGTGGACGAAGATCCTTTGGACGTCGCAGACACCAATTACTCTGAGCCTGCATGCATTGGAGAGATTAACATGGTGGAAGCTGACCAGAGTGACGCCCCAATAGGAGAGAAAGGTACTGAAAATGAAAGCTGGGTGATAGTCGAAGTCAATAAGGAGGTCACTGAAGACGTCCACAAGCAACCAGGGACTTCGATTGAAGCAGCACCTCTAGCTGTTGCAGAAGAAATCCAGGCTACTGAAGGCCAGGAAAACCAAAACCAAGAATTGACACAGGTTACTGAAGGCCTGAGGCTAGAATTGGAGAAAGTCCAAATCACGAAGCCAACCTCCCCTCAGAAAGAAATATGGGATACTCTAGGGGAACCCAGTGGAAAGTTTGACTACTTGGTCAAATATTCTGCCCCAGAGAGTTCAAAGGTCCACATTGAAGATATAAAACCCACAGGATGGGGAGATGATGACGCTAAGGGGGAGGATGTTGAGGTAAACATGGTGGATATGGAGGGACCTCGCTCTGAGATGGAGGAGGTAGAGAGATACTTAGAAAAAGAGAAATATAAAGTAGAGGATAATCATGCTGGAGATGCTAGACTCAAGGATTACCTCATGATGTGCCACAAAGGAGATACAGGAATGATACTATGCCCTAGGTGCAACATCCTCTGCAACCAGAGAATCGCTGCAAACTTCGAGAGGGTACAAAGGGCGCGAACTGGCAACAACTGGCGCCAGGATAACCAGTTATTCAGGTGTTATCCTAAGGCTGGAGAAAGTTTGTTGGAATTTGTGTTTCGCTACTATAAAGGGGCAACCAAGTGCTTGATATGCCCAAGGTGTTCCGCTGTGTATGATCAAAGCATGGCCAGAGCCTTCGAAACAATTCCCTTCGCCCCTTGCTGGAACCACCAAGAAACTGTTCAGATGGGCCCACGTTTCGATAACAAATACAAACAACAAAGGCCTGATAGTCCTCATCCCAAGGGTGCTCGAAGAGTGACGTTCAAACTCCCTACTAAAGTGCCGACAGACAGATGGCTGCAAGTCAGAAATGACAAAGGCAAAGACAAATGGAGAAACACCGAACGAAATGCACGCCATGATATGACATATAGAAGGCAATTCAACATAGCGAAGAGGGAAGAGGTGAGATTAGAGAACTACAAAGGAAGAAACCCCCTGTCAAGATCTCAGTGGCGAAGGCAACAAAGGATTCGAAAGGCTGAGAGGGAAGCTGTGGCAAATAAAGGGGCAACTTCAACAAAGAACCAAGGTGAATCTAGCACCAACAAACCCACACCAAAAAATCAAACTGAAGACAAACCCCCAGTTAATAGGAGGCTTTTCTCTGAAGTACAACTAGATGAACCAAAGGAATACACTCTAGGTCCAGAAGAGGACGAAGATATGATAATGGACAACTTCGAATCAGAGGGGGAGTCTTCGTTCAACCTCAATTGCAACGTGGTATCTGTGCTTCCCTGTGAGTTTGGACAGGAAACTGAAATTGATGAATATGAGGAAGAAGATACCATAGACCTGATGAAGCATAGGCATGTGTGCTACTATGTGATGGACAATGGGACTGTCGAGGAGCAGAATGCGTTCTTCGAACGTCCAGAACCAGCTATGAAGAACCATCTTAAGCCACTATTTATTTGGGCAAAGGTTGGTGCCCATGGCGTGAATAAGGTTTTAGTGGATGGGGGCGCTGCAGTCAACTTAATACCCCACTTCATGCTGAAAAGGTTAGAAATACGCGAAGGAGACATCAAGCCACACAACATGGTTCTGTCCAATTATGAAGGGAAAGTAGGCAAAACACTGGGGGTGGTTCAATTGGACTTGACAATAGGATCAAGCTGTAGGCCCACCATGTTCATGGTGATCGAAGCCAAGGCCAACTATAACTTGTTGCTGGGAAGGGAGTGGATCCATGGCGTAGGGGCAGTTCCTTCGTCAATGCACCAGCGATTAGTTTTATGGAGAGAAGATGGGATCGTGGAAAACATTGAAGCAGACCAGAGTTACTTCATGTCAACAGTCAACTTAGTTGACAAGAGGAATTATGACAAACATCTGGCAAAGATCGCTCCTTGTGTCCCAAATGATGAAATCAACGAAACCAGAAACGCCCACTACTATATGACCCTTCGCCATGATGGCCTATACTGGGATAGAAGAATAATCAGTGAAGA